TGCGAGGTCAATGGTCCAACGACTACGGCATGCACGACTATGAGTACACCCCCCCCTCCCCACTGCAAGCTCGGACCGCGTGCACGAGAAATCAACTTTTAAGAGGAAATCAAACAGAGAGGGGGGTACGCAGACCATATTCCTAACCAGGCTTCCCCGATTGCATTCGCTTTACCCAACCTGTTTACATAATTGCGAAACTCTACGAAGGCTGCTGGTACCCTCACCGTGAAGCCCGACAGCTGCGTCGCCCGTATCTCTCTGGTGAACTGCTCGACCCCTAGCTCGGGAGAGCGGATCAGCAGCTGCACCGGGGGCCCCGCCCTTATCGACACCGGCAGGCGCAGCACGCGCGTCTCGTCCACGACGCCGCCCGCCGCCGCCCCGCCCCCCTGATCTCCGCCTCCGTTGGCGGAGCCTTCGCTGCTGGAGCCCATGATGAGAATGTGACCGCTCTGACCGGGGGGGCCTTCAAGGTTGAGGCTGCGGGGGAAGTGGTAGTGGCCGTTCACCTTGGAGGGCTTCATGAGCTTGCACTGGTGCTCCGGCAACACTGTTTTTCAATGTTTAAGGCCGCGCAAAGAAACAATTTAGTCCGGAGTGGGGGCAGGGGGGGGTGGGGGAATGCTGGCGCGTAGATGTTTCATGGTTGCGTGCTTCCTTGTTGTTTCAACCTTCAAATCAATTCAACATTTGGTGGCACCAGAAAAGCGACGCACGCCATGGAAAACATGCAGCGTTCCTCCTTGTCGTAGATCGTAACTCTACGAGCTGTCAACATACAAGCGAGCGACTACAGGTACAACACGACGCCCCTTCCTTGAGCGTGCGGCTGAGGGCACAAATGCTATGTCGAGTTGTTCGTCTAATATGCTCTTCACAAACAAAAATACACCAGTGCAACTTGTGAAGGTGCGGAGAATGCCAAAGCTCCTTGCTTTCTAAACATAGGCAAGTATCAACCGGGTTGTATAAAAAAACACAGACTCATGATTCGTTTTCGCTCTTGATAACATGAAATCGGTTGAAAGCATGAAATCGAAGAGACTCACGGTTCGTAAGTGGCATGCCCTCGATCCTGATCTCGGGTGCTCTGGGCACGTTCTTGACCAAGTTCCCATAACTGTCGACGGGAACGAAGCCTTTAACAACCTGCCGCAGATACATGATGCAACACATCCGATTCTTGTATGTTTGGGTGAGCGACAAGTCAATCGACGTGCTTACGTCAGGTTGTCATGTTTCACGTGTAGTCCAGGTTCAACTTCTCGTCAGGGGAGAATCTGGGGGGAAACATAAAAAGGTAACAACGGTGCCATGACGTCATCGGGTGATCGAGACCAAGTCGTGCGGGCGTGATGTGATTGGATTGCCTGCGTTCAAAAGCGTGGACGGACGTCTTTGACCCGGTTACACAACAGCAGTAGGGGGCTGATGATGATGGTGCTCACATCTGATGGTGGTACCTCTGAGAATTGGTCCAGGGGGTGTGTGATATATTTCGCAACCTACGGCATGACGTAGGGCCGTATTATACGCACCGCCTTGAGAGCCTCGTGGCACGCCTTGGCGTCGCCGCCGCTGGTGAGTTCGAGAGGGGTGATGTTGTCCGTGATGTTGCCGCCCGCCGAGGGCTTCACTGCCATCCATCGAGCAACCGGTCCTGAAACGGCAAAATA